TTTAAAATAAAATATAAATTTAAATAAAATCTTTTATTAAATGAGATAATAAAGTAACAAAACTTAAAAACTTTGCGTTATTCATTTATTATAATTTTAATTATTAATTATGGATACAAATACATAACTGACTAAAATCGGTTTTTATATCTCTATACATTACATGAAGCAAAAAGAATAGGGATATCTACATAAATTCATGAATAATAATTAATTAATATGTTAAATAATTTAGATATTTAAACCAGCTCTAGTAGAGACTGATCCACTATAATATGAACTGAGCCATCCAAGAGCTGATAGCCCAATAACTTCTTTATTTCAAATTGGGTGGGAAGGGGTGGATTTGGAGCTGGTTCCAAAATATTACAAAAATCGGAAATGTATAACACACATATGAATCTATATACAAAGTTTGGAAATCCTAACCTCTATTAGATTACTACTAAGAAATTATGAATACGCGGAAAATTTGAAACCAATAACAAAATAAGAAGATTGTGATTTTCCATTGGAGCCCGTTCCTTAAGTAGATAGATGCGTACTGTTATGCATCGAAAGTGAGTGGGAAGACAAAAAATATTAAAGAGATAAAAAAAATTAAAATATTTATTGTGTATGTTGAGTCTGATCTATGTATGCAATGTACATAGGTGAAAACAATTGTAATATCCCTAAAAGTATACAACATTTTACACAGGTAAAATTCAATCATAATTGACCGTTCATTTTGTGTTGTTTACCTGCTTTAATGGCTTTGAAACCCAAAAAAAAAGGTTTTAATATTTTACAAACTGGGAAAATTGAGTTTTGTAGCCCATGTTAAATGTCATATGGTCGAATTCTACCTTTGTAAAAGATGGAAAAATTAAATACGAAATCATAACATTTTTAATATAAAATAAATAAATATATCTTTAAGAGGTAATGTCAGATAAACTTATCGGCTTTTCAGATTCTATATAATATATAAAGGTCATAATAATTATAAAATTGAAGTTCATTAAAGTAAATAATTAACCAAATATTTAATTTTTTATTACAACAATCATTCATTAACCAAAAGTTGATATAAGGGTACGTTGCTATGTGTTAAAATATAAATAGGTATACTAGTATTTAGAAGATTGTCATCAGGTCCTTTTATTATTGTATTATTTATTTTATTTATTACAGATTAGAATTAATATAAAGTTAAAACTACTTAAAGCTAAAACACTAGCAACTGAGGACCTCGGCTGGTTTAGCTTTAATATAACCGGTTGCTAAGCCACATCAAGAATGAAGAGAAAACATGAGATATTTGAGCGAATTTCAGCGCCTACCACCAGCCGTGCCAAATCCCACCCTGTGCTTGGCTTATCGCCATTCTGCGCTCACAGCCAGTAGCGCTCTCTCTATCGTTCTCTCTCTTTCTGTCTCGTTGCCAGCTACATTGTCGTAGGTATGGCATGGGTTATGGTTTTGCCACAGCTGCCGGCAAAGTGTTCCCAGCTCTGTTGGCATTTTCGCAATGTAATTTCAGTCTGAATTGGTCGGTCGTTGAGCGCGGAAGTGCTCAGAGTGCGAGTGAGAACGGGCAACGGGCACAGAGCGCGATTTGTTTGAATGGCTGGTACGTTTACGTTCGCGTCCATTTCTATGTGATTGTGTGATTGTGTGTGTCTGTGCGCGTATGTGTGTGTGTGGGTGAAGAATAACAACACCGATATCGAAATAGTGAAGCACAAAGGCCAAGCAAAGAAAGAAACACCAAAACACAACAATAACAACGGTAGCCAAGAGTCAGCGTCAGCGTCAGCGTCTTGTATTTTTTTTTTTTTTTCGTTCCTTTATTTTGGTGAGTTTGAGGTGGAGTTGCTGTTGCTATTGCTTTTCATTCCTCGTGTGCTTGGGTCAGTTTTGTTGCCTTTTTCACGTGAGTGGCGCTGTAAATTAAAGTTACAATTTGCATCAGTGTTAGTTGCTCATGCCGCGATTTAATAAATGTGCAAACAATCCGCCAACTCAAACATCTAGCCCGTACTTAATCTCTGTACGTAAGCGCCGCGTGACTCTCAAATTGCATCCGGTTGATGCTTGGCGTAGTGCGAAGCGAATCGATTTCAACTCACCTAACACAAAGTTGGCAATCTTAAGAGAACTGTGCATAATCTTCCAAACTCCCCACAGTAATGCGTATTAAATATTACTTCTATTTGCGTAAATGCCGACTGCACTATATGAGTGAAGGTGTCTCTATGTGTGGGGTCTGTGTTTTTGTTTCTGTGTGTGTGTATGTGTGTAGGTCCACTGCACGCATTGTGAGTCATCCGCGCTGGTCAATATGCAATCTCAGCACAAATTACTCCAACACATAGAAGTTTATTTTTAACCCTTGGCCCTCTCGAAATTTGTGCCGCATGCGAATTTCGACTAGACGACGCCAGCGACGCTCGTAATGAATTTTAAAAGTGCGCCGCGGCTATAAATACCAAATTTGTCAACAAAAAAAGAGCTCACAATATAATATAAAATAATAATACAAAAAATGATTTAAATGCTGCTCGGGTGCGCTCAGTTGTCAGCAAGTTCATCAAAAGGCAAATGGCAATAAAAATATCATTATGTAAAAACCTTTGCCTTTTACTAATGCCTGTACATAGATGGGCGTATATATATATGTATGTTTATGTGTGTGAGTGTATGTGCGTGTACATCAGTGCCTGTGTTTTTCTGTAAATATGTACTAGTTGAAGCGGGCATACTAAATATATTTAGAGACTCGGCGATCTGGCCGCAGACGCTTACTTTTTGCATTAAATGTCATTAACCTCGAGGAATCGGCGAATCGACGGATCGACGGATCGACGAAACGAGTTCGAATGTTGTCATTCGCATTGAAATGACGTGAATACAAACTTCTCATTTATTCAAATGATAACAATTTTCACGTGACTGACTTGACATGATAATTTGATTTTATGCGCCATTTGCTTTTCCAGTGCCATAAAGCACTTGCTCTAAACGGGTTTGTTATATAAGCCACGAAACCGTTGTAGAACAGAAGAAGAGTTCAACATATATATCATACTTACTTACTGAATATATATATATATGCTTGTAGCTGATGACACACATATAAGTGGAATCTGCAATGGAGCACTTTATTTGTGAGTGTCTCTTGCAGTTGCAGCCATCGAATTGAGTAAACAACAATAAATAAGGTCAGTTTGCACATTATGTGTAAAAGTGATTTGTAATAATAAAAAATCTTTGTTGTCATTCGATAAGCTGCATTCATTGAGCGTGAAGGAAAAGAATGCATGAATGCAGTTAGAAATATAAATCAAGAATGCTAAGCAGGCAGATACCCTGCAACCTAATTCAGGTGTTGTCCGATCATATAAGCAATTACGAAATATTTAACGTATAGTAGTAGTTCTTCTGCTCTACATTAAAAGCATTATAAATCTAGCTTGCATTAAACCTTAGTTTAAGTTTTTCAGTATTCTCCATACTTTCCTCTAATATATGAAGTCTAGTTTGCATTAAAGTTTGTTTAGGTGTTTCAGTATTCTCAATACTTTGTTCTCTTATATGTTTTATAGTGCACTAGTATAAGAGTTCTTTCACTCGATTTGATATACGCCAAGCACTATGATTCATGCAATCATGGAATACTACAGTATATTATGGAAGCTATTGTCGTTCCCTGATATACCCTGTTATACAAAATATATTCATGTTTTTTAATGCCATTCGATACGCTGCATTCATTCAGAATTGAATACCAAATGCAGTTAGTTTATCACATTTAAGCACTGAAATACCCTCTAAGTATTCTGATGCCTCTTCTTAATTCAGTTATGGATATACATGAGATAAAATATATATGCATATATGTATATATATATTGTATGTGTATGACCCAATAGACACAATCTCGATTTATTACCATTGTGTACGAATCTTGTATCAGAGTTCTTCTTCTTCTTCTCGGAACTCGTTCTTTGTTTCATTCGCAAGGAAACGCCAGTTATACAAGAGGCAAGTGAGTCATTTGCTTATCACAGACATATTCATAATACGCTCGCGCCTAGCATACGCATGTTATTTATGTACAAATTAATACCCTAAATACCCACTAATCAGAATTGATCACGCTGGCAAATCGAACACACACGCATTTCGTGATCCAGTTAAGTATATAGCATATCAGATACGCTGCCGCGTAATCAACAGCCAGCTTCAATATATATGATTATTAGTATTATGACTGCGTCAATATTTTGATTTGTTTCTGATTTATGAGTTTGRAAACCAAATAAATAATAATAATGCTAGAAGGGCTGGTTTTCTGTCTTTGTGTACCTCCAATTCCATTCGTAATACAAGTCAACGGATGATGTCATGATCCAGACCTAAAACCAAAAACCCGGCTCACACTCACACTTACACACACACACACGTACACTGAATTTTTTAAAGTGCTGAGCTCAGCTCTTGCTGCTGTCGATGTCGATCATTAGCTCACCGGTTGGCGGAATACCTCTATTTATTTGTTCTCTTTCATACGGAAATTCATCAACTCGCTCTGCTCAGCTATGAGCTCATCTTTGATCACCATTGCGTACACCATTCGCGTTCCTCTCGCCATATGCGTATATACTCAAATTTCCATATACGTACATAAAATACCATTAAATAGAGCTAATATTTAGCGTGACCTAAGCAGTCGTGCTCGGCATTGGCGTACCCTATAACAATAATGATGGCTGTAAAATCATATTTTGGAAAATCTAATGTCTCTATTTCAACTGAAAATCGAGTGTTCAACTGAAATTGGTTTACCAATGAATATAGGGATTTAAATGATGATGCATACGGCATTAAATTAAAATCTATAATTATAAAGACATACATACTTTCAAAGTTTCTATTTTATGTCGTGAATAAAACAACAAACTGGGCATGCGATTCCCACTATTTTTTAATACTTATCCAATAACTACAGGGTATAAATACTGTAACCTTAGCCTTGACTGTAAATCGAACTCTTTGATTCTTACTTAAAAGTTAAACGCATGCGCTTGCCTATTTAATAAATAGAGGGTATCAGAGCTATAGAATGTCGGCGACATCTTACGATTCGAATTCCAGCTCGTCTATTTGCACTGCCAGTAGCTGACCCTCGGTATTGTTGCACCATCAATGGCATCGCCCACACGCGATCTGTCAGTGCTAGACTTGCGTCAATTTCTATCACATATACAGATATGATATATACCCATACATATACCTATATCGACACTTTGGATGAGCTTGGATATACCCTATGGCTGCCTACAATTTGTTAAATTGCTGCAATTAATTTAATCAGCCTGTAACTGTTGCCTTCTGAAATGTTAAATAAAATGCAATGCATGCAGCTCGTTTGTGTGTTCCGCGTTTTTAATGTCGCATGCTTAATTGACTTTTAGCTGGAAATATCGATTTGTTGACTTTCAAATGCATTATTATCGTGGCTGTTGCCATGGTTAGAGACGCCCTAAAAACAACAGGTGCTGTTGGTATTTGCAAGTTATATAAGAGTTATAAATCTTGACTTGTTCGCTTTGATTTTGGATCTCTTTAATAAAATACATAATACATATTTCTATTGTTTCGCTCAGAGACCCTTTCTGCTGGCTACGCCCCAATGAAACACCAGCAACATGTGCATCGATCAAATTCGCGAAGTGTGATAAAGACAACCAAGTGACTTAAAGAACAAAAGCTGAAATCTCAACTGCAATATACACATATATAATAAGCCAATTAGAGACAAGTTGCGAAAATGACAATAACATATACAGGTGAAGTGGCCACATGCCGTGGCTTTGGCTGTTTTCTCAAACTGCTGCTCAGGTAAGTGATCAAAGTTATATATTTGTATAAGATATAATGCATATATATAAATATATACGTAAGCTACTGATTCGTATTCACTGAGCACAACAAGCAAAAGCTAAAAGGCTTTTACGACAGTTTTTGTTGTTTACTTTTCGTTCTTTTATCAATTAAATTGCCCAGATCTTTGATAACCAGCAGAAAAAGAAAGTATTAAATGATTTTATTGGTTAATGCTTTCGGCTATATTTCCTCAGATCAGCACTTAACTTGTTTTGAAAGTTGCTTAGACAAATTGCTAAAATATATATAATTCAGTAATTTTGTGAGTTCCCCTTTCCATGGTAGAAAATTAGTTACAAAGGGTTTAATTAGGTTGATCAAGTTATATAAAGAATTTTATTAATCACCCAACTCGAATCCGAATTGAAAACCAGACGAGCCGTATCAAATCTTCTTTATTATTATTTAGCTCTATCACCAAACTTGAATCATCTGCAGCAAAAGAGTTTGCAAAAGTATTAGCTGACCATTGATTCTGTTGGTCTGTGTAACACGTTCACACGTTTCCATCAGCTTTCCCTTATACACGAAAGCAACAGCTGTTCCATCCAATTCTTTGTTGAGTCGATTTATTAGGCGATCAAGCAAAGTAAGCTTTAGATTACAAGCTTGCAATATGGAATATGTAATGAAATTAAGTATGAAACGAAAGCCAATATTAGCTTAGTTCGGGCAAGGCCGCGTAACACACGCCTTCAAGTTCCCATATCATGCGAAAAACAAGCTATATTCTACGAATTACAGTGCTAAATGCGAAGCGTGTAAAAAATTGCAAGTCCAGTGCTAATTAAAGAACTGACACAGTTCGCTCCAGCTCGGCAATTGAGCTAGTGACAGTCGTCAGGCGACAGCCGACAATTGCAACTAATGCAAATAATAGAATTTTCCATGCACACACAGCGTACAGCGGGTATTAGATTGTAGTTCCGCTGATACCAGCAACAACTCCACCCACACCAGATACCCCCACCACTGCCCCCACCACTGCCCTTGCCACTGATACTATTACTGATACTGATACACATCCCTATTTACATAAACAGTGACTGCTGCAGTGTTATCTTGGCAACATTTGACATCTGTCATGCGTGTAATTTGATTTAGAATTTAATAATTGGCAGCAAGTGCTGCTAGCCATATCTATAAGCATGTATGTATGTAAACCTGTGTATGTACATATATGACACATAGAATCTAGTAGCTGATAGTTCATTTACTTGAATGATCCGCTGATAGTGTCAGCTGGCATTGATTGCCTCTGCTAATCAATGAACCATCCAGCCTAGATCGATGATAAACCAATTTCGCTAATTTAATGCATTATGCACTTGATATATGATTGCAATGAATTAAAAGAAATCAAGCCAATGCTAAATTGCCAAGTTGGTCTTTATTTTAGATTAATTCTTATCTCTTAAAAATAACAAAAAAAATATAGCAAAATTTATCGCAACTTTATATAATTTATAGCAGCTTGTAAACATATACCCTGTAAAGTTTTTTGAACTCAACTCAAAATTGAATTAAATTTATCAGCTAGGACAGACCTTGAAATCTTTGTGGCCAACTGATAAAAGTCAAAAATTTTGTTTGTCATTTGCTTATGATAAATGATTACGTGTTTGCTTTTGGTGTTTTTATCACATAAATATTTGATAAGAATTTACTTTATAATTAGCGGGCTTTTCATTTCAAATGATGGCTGGAACATTTTCAAATTTATATAGTATACATATAGCATATAGATAGACCAATTTTTATGACGTTTTGACGGTGGCATGATTATGGCCCAATATCAGGCCAATGACGTTGACAGCTAAAGGAATATTGGTAAACACATGCCAGACTCTGTGCCGCACATTATTAAAATAGAACCTTACGTTCGATTAGTGGGACCCAATAGGGTCCATAAATGATGGAATTTGAGTAGCGTTACTAAGAATCAACCACTCTGTAGATCTATTTATAAATATGACCTGATATGTTTGTGTTTTCTTGTAGGTGGCGCGGAAGTATTTACAAATTAGTCTGGCTGGATCTGTTGGCCTTCCTCACATTATATTATCTACTTAATCTGGTCTATCGGTTTGCGCTCAACGAGGCCCAGAAAGAGTAAGTGAAGCTTGAATGTTTACACTAGTGCACATACTTATTGTAGTCTATTTGGCATGTAGAACCTTTGAGGCGATCGTCGCCTATTGTAATAGTTATCGTGATCTCATACCGCTGTCTTTTGTGCTGGGTTTCTATGTATCCATTGTGATGACTCGCTGGTGGAATCAGTACACTTCCATCCCCTGGCCGGATCCCATCGCCGTCTTCGTCAGCTCCAATGTGCACGGCCAGGACGAGCGTGGTCGAGTCATGCGTCGCACGATCATGCGCTATGTGTGCCTCTGCCTCACCATGGTGCTGGCCAATGTGTCGCCGCGCGTCAAGAAACGATTCCCCGGCCTCAACAATCTGGTGGAGGCGGGCCTGCTCAACGAGAACGAGCGCACCATCATTGAGACGATGAACAAATCATTTCCCAGGCCCTCCAAGCACTGGCTGCCCATTGTCTGGGCGGCGAGCATCATTACGCGAGCAAGGAAGGAGGTAATAATAGCAAGGATAACATTATGAGATGTGTTAATTTATAAATATTATATATCTATGCATGCATATGTAGGGCCGCATAAGGGACGATTTTGCTGTGAAGACGATCATCGATGAGCTGAACAAGTTCCGAGGACAGTGCGGATTACTGATTAGCTATGATACGATCAGTGTGCCCCTGGTTTACACCCAGGTAGTTACGCTAGCCGTATACTCATATTTCCTTACCTGCTGCATGGGTCAGCAGTGGACAGATGGCAAAGTCGTCGGCGGCAGCAGCTACCTGAACAAGGTGGATTTGTATTTCCCAGTGTTCACCACGCTGCAGTTCTTCTTCTACATGGGGTGGCTGAAGGTGGCCGAGTCCCTGATYAATCCCTTTGGCGAGGACGACGACGACTTTGAGGTAGATCGATCTTCTGAGGTGTTCAATCATGTGATAACTGATCTAATCCTTAGGTCAATTGGATGGTGGATCGCAATTTGCAAGTTTCGTATTTAATTGTAGATGAAATGCACCATGATCATCCGGAGCTACTGAAGGATCAGTACTGGGACGAGGTGTTTCCCAATGAGCTGCCGTACACCATCGCTGCGGAACGCTTCCGTGAGAATCATCCGGAGCCCTCGACTGCCAAAATCGATGTGCCCAAGAATGCGGCCATGCCCTCGGGCATATCATCTGTGCGAATCGATGAAATGGTTGGTAACAATGGCAACGTCGCCTCTGGGTCGAAGCAGACTGCCACTGAGCAGCCGTCGCAAGGGGCAACCAATCAGTCAGTTACTTATGACCTTTCCAAGGCTGCGCCAGACGAGGAGGTTAGAATCAAAACGTTGGCAGCATTCACTAGCGATTCGAAGTATTGGCACCAACTAATCGGCTATCTTAACTAAATGTACATTCATGGCGTGGCGGATAACTCAATTTAAAACAAACAAACAAAACAAAAAACAAACAAAATAACCAAAACAATAATCAAATTTGAAAGTATTTTCTAACCATCTTCTGTAATGACCTGAAATATGTATTTCATATGGGATTCAAGTCGATCATTGGCATTTCAAATCACAACGGTGTTTGGTAGTTATAGCTAAGACCTACTTAAGAGTTGAAAGATATACGATTGAAAGCTCTATGGAAATGAACAGTGGATTCTATGAATACTGAAATATTTTGTTATATGGCTATCAAAGTTGTGAAGACGAAACCTGCTATAGGACAGATTCAGATTCATATGGAGTCCACTGAGCATTATCACTAACCTAGTTGTAACTCTATTGTGGTGTTTGTGTGATTGTTCTATAAACTATAAGACTGCATACTAACTTTTGATTCTAACAATAATATGTTTGCCTACAGCCTCTAACTGCACTACGCTCTGCACGGCTTTCGGTTGCTTCAGTGCACCCCAGAAAGAAATTTGCACCAAATTGGTTTCAAGTAACCTATGCTCTATTTAAATTCTCCCTCTCTTTCTCTCTTGCTCTCTCTCTCCCTTCCACTCACTGATTACTTTCGACTAATCCACCCTTTCCCCGTTTCCAACGGTAAACGCAGGCGGACGATGCCAGCGGCATACACTTCTCTGCAGGCAATGGCAAATCGCGCCTGGGACTCGGCTCCTCGCCCAGCCTGGTTAGTGTATCGGGTACGCTGTCGCGGGTGAACACTGTAGCCTCGGCACTGAAACGCCTGCTCAGTCGGGACGAAAGCCGTCCGAACTCCGCTACGCCCAGCGACGATCCGGGCAAGTACCGTTTCCCGAACAGCGCCAGCACAGCCAGCTTGACAGGAGCCAACGTTGGCTCCTCGACTGTGAAGCCGGCAGCGGGCAGCATGCGCATCACCCAACAGGTCATCGAGGAAGTGGACGAGCAGGCAACCATCACTTCCACACGCCCCCACGATCCACGTCCGAATGTCAAAGACATTTTCTCGTCCACCAACGGCGACCCACTGCATCAGCCAGGCAGCCAGCCGCTGCAACCGCCACCGCCTGCAAGTAGACCCGGCGAGCTGCCGGCGCGCTCCCAGCCAATGGACATACCCAGACGCTCGCCTCAATACGAGCGTGCTTACTCCCAGTATGAGCCGACGACATCGCTCTTCCCGCCCGGCGGCGTGGACGCATTGCTGAGCACCTCGGCGCCGGCTGGAGACGGTCCCTCGCTCTTGGCAGGAGACACGGCGCCCAGCTCGCCGCAGGGTGACAGCAGCAAATCCCTGTTTGAGCCGAACAGGGTTGCCAGCCGCGAGACAGGTAAGTGGTCGGCCCTCGTGCCATGGAATGATGCCCACAAAGCCTTCATTCTCCTGCTTTTGATATTCATATTTAACATTGATCTTCATCTATTCACATCCATACACACACACACACACACACACACATCTCGATCTTTCGACTGTTAATACTTAAAGCGAGTGAGAGACCCGATGCACCACAGTACTTCCGGTGGTTCGTGACGCCCGGTAAAGTTCAAGCATTGGCCAAACTAAGTTTATTTCGTTCCTTAGCCTATTCTTCCGCATATTTGTTGCCAGTCCAAAATTGATTCTTGTTGTACATTTGGTATCGTCTATTATTTTCAGCTGTCTAAATCACAAATTATTATTATTAATATTATTTTCGTTGTTTTTATTTATTTTTTTATTATAAATTTGTAGACTTTTTAACTAGAATTACTAACCATAATTTGCATCCGTAGTTTGTATTGTGTTGCATAAGACTCGATTTTGATTCTTCGATTTTAGGTTGTCGAAAAGGTAAAACTTTCCTTACCGTAAAATTTATATTTAGATTTTGCCTAGCCGTATTCCCTCTAGCCGTTGCACGTCTTACTTAACCCTCATTAATCCCTGAGGATGTTTGTTCCACTTGACGCTAATACCAATCTCTGTCCTTGCAGTCGAAAATCTCGACGTCAAAGCATCGGCCGATGTTTTGGCCAATCCAGCTGCCGAGCCCCCGCCAGACACTGGCGATGACTTCGAAAAACTACGAGCTGCTCGCGAAAAGGAGAAGCTGGTGCGCCAGCAAATGAACTTGGCGCGGACGATTAGCACCGCCCCGGGCGTGGATGCCTCCGGAGTGCCAGTTGTGGTGCCAGTGGCACTAGTGGCACCACCCGCGGCTCAGCCGGCCGCCCCAACCCCGCTGAGAACAGTGCCCTCCAATGCTGACTTGCTCGCCGGCACTGATCCAGTGACCAACTCGACCATCAAGTCCGAGGATGCCACCACAGGAAGTTGAACTGACAGTTAGAGTTTTACATTTGGGCGTACTACATAGGGAGTACGCCGTCTGTGCTGTATACTTTTTCAAACTACCCTTAAGTTGATTAATTAGCGTTAGTTAATTTATCTAAGCTGCTAAACTTAATACCTTAACAAGCACAATGATACAAAAAAAAAAAAAAAAAAAAAACAAACAAATAAGCAGAGATAGAAACATATTAAGAATGCTCATAACGTTAAAACGATCTTGAGTGAAAGTGGACCCATTTAGCGCAGTTAATATAATATAAATATTATTTATCAATTAAGTCAACAGTGATTTGAATCTACACAATAATATAAGTTTTTCTAAAAGGCCAATCAATTGTGTTTTATTGATAATTAAAGTCGAATTGAGACTACCTTGATATCACTGATGCAAGCAGCTGATATTCAATCAATCGGTTCGTGAGTCATTTTCATATACTTACAGTGGATCTTCGGTTAACGAACGCCTCTGATAAAAATCACGTTTTTTGGGAAAAATAAGTTTCGCTTAACGAACAATGTAACGCATGACGACCACAAAAATTTTGGAAAACATTCCTTGTATGAAAAATATTTGTCGATGTTAAGCAACGACACATATAGTGTTTTCCATTAATCGTTTTAGCACATTGCATGTAATTAAGATGCAAAATTTGTGGTTTCGGTTAACGAACAAGATGCAGGAACGACTGTGTTCGTCAACCGAGGGTCCACTGTATGTTGCCCATACTATTGGAAATCGAGTTATATACAAAGTTAACGATTGCTGTTCATGAGACTTTTAAGAACGATTATGTCATCCAAAGGTATCCTAAAGCGTAAATTTATATTTTTTAGTTTTTTTGTTTAGAAAGAGATGAACAGATGGGTAATATACGTAATTCGACATTATATTTTACATGTGCTAAACTTTCATTTTTCAGTTATTTAATTATGGGACTTAGCTTGAGAATTAGTTTCAGTGAACAAAACACAAATCAACAATTCCGAAATTCATAATATAAAATAAAAATGAATTTAAGGTATTCTGTCTTTCTTCATAACCGCCATAATAAAATTCTTGGATTATTTGTGGAGGCAACAAACTGATGTTGATGTGTGATCAACTAAGGTCTTTAAAATTTTCGATAAATTTGAGATTATCTAGGAGTCACAAAGACGCACGTTGCGTAAAATAACAGAAGTATTTCAAGATTGTATGAGCTGAGTTTTGGTCTTAAGAATTTGCAGTAAATGGCAGTATTTTAAGATGAAATAATGCGAATTTATTTGAGATATGCATTGCACTAAGTTAGTCGAACGCATGCATGAAATGCACAAAACAATTAATTTCATTTATACGATATTTAAATTGTATTCATTTCCTAACTTTTACAATCCGTATAAAAAAAAAAAAGAAGTTAATAAATATAAGTGATCCACGCTCGAACTTATGATTCAACTTATAAAAACGTACGTACATATAAGAAGCTCCAAATAGCATCGTCTCACATCACTTAAAAAGATTACATACAACACTTGATATAAATTATATATCTAATGATATTTAATATAGTTTTAGATACTAAGTCAATACAACTAATAGAAATTAACATAAACGCCAAAAGCGTTCAAGGGCAAATCATCAAGTTGGTTGGGACAGTGCGTAGACAGGATTATCAGTTGGCTCATTAAATGTGTGTGCTAGCAGAGCAAGCTAATAGCGTGTCACCTGGCCGCCATAGCGGTCCTGTGCCGGGCGACTACCTCCGTACATTCCACCAGCTCCGCTGTTGCCTTGGTAGCCACTGGAGCGTTCGTTGTAGCTGCGATCAAAACGGCTCTGTGTCTGCATTGGACGCCAGTTGTCATCGATGGTGGCTGACTTTTGCCACGAATTGTTGCCATGCATGTTTGATGACATTCCATTGTTGCTGTAAGATTTCAATGGGCCCCCGCCACCTCCCAAATGAGCGCTGCTACTGCCGCCACTGGATGGTGCCCATATGTTAACGTTGTTCGAGTTGCTGCCATAACCACTGGTTGCTCCACTGCTGGTTGAGTTATCATAACGTTTGTTGCTACTAAAAGCGACAAAAGTCCCGTTTTAGAGTGTCTTCAATTTAGGAAAGTTCATTTATTCATTTACTCACTGTGACATGTCGTCGACGCCGCCACGTCTGTAGTTAGAGGTGTTGGTGCGGTCGGCATCGTTATAGCGACCACTCCCACCACCGGTTCCTCCACTTGTGTTGTTCTTGTGACCGTATGAGGCGGTAACGTTGCTAGTGTTATTCTTGTGCACATATGAGCCGGCACCGCCGCCCGTGTTGCTCTTGTGAACATATGAACTGCTCGAGCCACCGGTGCTAACACCACCTGATGAGACCGGCAAGTGGCGAACCTCAACGTCGCGTTTGTAATCATCACGCTTGCTGGTGGTGGACGACGAGTAATCATGCTTGGAGCTTGTGCCATAATCATTGCCAGAGCGCTTACTAGGCACTGCAGCGTATTCATCGATAGCACCACGCTTGGTACCAGTGGAGCTGCCGTATTCGCTACGTTTGTTTGAGGAATATTCAATTCGCTTGGAGCTCGAATAGTCATCAAGTCCACGCTTGGAGGTCGACGAGGTGCCATAATCATCATGCTTCTTGTCATAAGTACTAGTGCTGCCAAAAACAAATTCGGATTAATGCCAATCTACAATGCGAATCTTTGAAACGTACTTGCGTGAGCTAACCAAAGATGTGTCAAAACGTGGCGGTGGTGGAGCATCAAAGACCGCGGAGCGCTTGCGGTCGGGGACATCGGTGTAGCGATCATCAGAGCGCTTGCTTAGCGAACGCTTAACGGGATCATCACGTGATTCCATAATCCTGGAGTGCCAAGTGGGGAAAGATGAAAAGAGTAAAGTATAATATATTAGCAATATTTCAAAGGAATGCAGGTCAGATCGTCACATAAATATAAATAGAGTTTAGACTAGGATGCAGTTCGTTTGCAGTTGCATAAACATACATGAATGCAAAAGCATTTGCCTAGACTGCCCGGCAGTTTTGTTGAGGTTGAAGAAACAACGTGGCTGCTGCAACTTAACACACTTAGCTTAATTTACAAGGCCAAATGCCCTTTGAGAATATGTAAAAATAAATATGGTGTTTGTTGTTTTCTTTTTTTTTTTTTTATATAGCATTGTGTGTGCAACGCTGTTACGTTTATCATACTTCATCTGTTGACGCTTCAATTCAAGGCGCTCCAGCTCGATTTTCTCACGCTCCAGCTTCTGACGCTCCCGCTCCATACGCAGCAGTTCAGCCTTCTCGCGCTCAAGGCGCTCCCGCTCGATAGCCAGCTTGCGTCTTTCTTCGGCCAGGCGCTCCTCTTCAATGCGCTGGCGTTCACGTGCTTCGCGACGACGTCGCTCCTCCTCGCGCAGCTCACGCTCGCGTTCACGCAGGCGCTGGCGTTCCCGCTCCTCACGAATCTTCTGATAGGACAGCATTTCGCGTTGGCGTCGCTCACGCTCACGCTCACGCTGACGTTGCTGGATCTCACGGTCATCTCGAGGTTGGCGTGCCGAACGACGCTCGTGGGACTCATCACGGTGCTGAGACTTGTGACCCGTTCCAGAGCGGTGATCACGCTCGTGGCGCCTATCACTGCCCGTTGTCGACTTATCCTTGTCATCACGTGATGGCTTGCCGTTGCGGTCCTTGTCTTTGCCGTCGCGCTTGTTGCTAGATTCCCCACCTGCGTTCTTGCCATCCCCATTGGCGTCGCCACCCTTCTTGTCATCGCCCCCGTTTCCCTTGCCGCCTGACTTCTTATCATCATCCTTCTTCTTCGAGTCATTGCTGGACTTGCTGTTCGTCTTGTTATTACCCTTATTGCCAACGTCTTTGGATGAGCTTGCGCTGCCGCCGATTTCATTCTTGGTGCGCTCGACTGATATAATTCGACCGTGCAGCTCCGTACGATGCAGATTATCAATGCAGCGCGAGGCATCTCCGGACGAAGACATGGTTACGTAGCCGTAACAGCGTGTGCCAGGAGTGCGAGTGTTGGTGACCACCTTTGCTCCAATCACCTTGCCGAACTTCGAGAAAATGGCCTTCAAGTCGCTGGCGCGTGTTAAAGTAGACAAACCGGATACCCAGAGATTGCGTGACAGCAAAGCCTGCTTGCCAGCAGCACTGGACGAGGCACCAGCTGCGCCTGCACCTCCGGCCGATCCCGACTTGCTGTTGGCAGCGGCACCTGATGATGCCGATGCTGCACCTGCTGCTGTTGTCGATGTTTTCTCTGCAAGTTCCATGTAAATAATAACAATATTGGAAGAGAGTTATGGTCAGAGCTGTGAGTGGCTGGAAAACTGTTTTGGTATTTGGTATTGTTTTTTATCATTGATCGTTAAGGGAAGCACTTTAAACGTACACTTTGTAGCTGCTGCTGTTTGCTGTTGTATTGTAAATTATTGTCATAACGAACCTGAATCTGACTACATTATAAGTATATCGTGAGAAACTGCGCACTACGAAAGCTAAGAGAGTGTGAATTTGATTGGGTTGCTGCTCATGATTCCACTGTAGCTGCGCTATCGCTCTCAAAGAAGGATGCCATGCAGAAGGGCCGCCAAATTCATCGCGCTGTCGTAGCCATCGTGAACGTGAAGAGCTTGCCAGTTGACGGGTGTGATACGTGCTCCTCAGATCGACGCTACTCGTTGGCTCATCGTTTAAGAAGCTGCTGTAGGTCCACTAGAAGGCAAAGGTATTCACCGTCAACATGTTATAGATGGTATGCTGGGAAAAGCAGTCCACATTACAGGTCGATTAAAAAGCGCCGTGCAGGACTCGCCAAGTAAATTGAAGAACATCGACGTATTTGCCAAATTTACAGTCGTTTAATATGCGAAATATCTCTTCTCCGGAGGAATTCACCTGCTGCTTCTCTTCGAAGAATTTGCGTAAATCGATGGAGTGCTGCAAATCCAGAAAAGCATTCAGAAGCCTCGCGTCCAGCATGATCACATGTTCGTCAGGGCGATTTCTCTGTGTTACGTCTTACGTGATCTGTGTCTAGATCAGATGGGATCCCTCCAAGTTGAATTGATGTGCAGTACATTACGTCCATTCCACTCCCAACCAAATTCACACTCTCTTACACACTGTCTTACAAGTGTGCCGCATCTGGTGTTTTTTATCGCAAGCTTTTTTTTTACTTAGTTCATGCGTGGCCTAACCAACTTATATGTATAACCTTTCAAGCACACTGATCTTCCTGACGCAAAAGTAACATAAATTACCTTTATCGTCTTTTTGGTTCGACGATTTGGAAACCGATTTTGGGTCGCTATGTGGTCCAAAATATATATTGAAAGTAAAGTGAAAAGAAATTTAAAGTGAGATTAGTAACTAGAATTGTGATAAATTATAGACATGATTTAAGCTAAGCCGGCAGTTTGTATAAACCAACCTAGAATCCTTTTTATCAGTGGATTTGTCATCCTTCTTCTTTGAACGAGCGCTCTCATCATCCTTGTGAATCTTTTTATCACCGTCCTTAGCAGCTGCACCCAATTTATCAGTTTTATTTGCCGGTTTTACTGAAAATCATCATCAGTTAAATTCTTTTATCAATAAATCTGACAAGATAGTCCCCTATATTATTAAAATTAAATCTATCCTATTTGGGTTATGATGCAATTTGAATAATGTAAATTATTTTTGTAGTTCAGCCCACAATTGCAAGAAATGTGTTCAGACTACAAGATCTGAAAAGCGGCATTGACACACTTAAAACCTAATTTAGCCAGTTTAGTATAGACGCAGTGCTCATGACATGTGTATATAGTATAGTTATGATACGTGTACATGCATTTAACATTCGGGCAGACGAAGTAGGCGTGCTTACCCGACTTAATAGATTTATCGTCAGGGGCCTGAAATGATCAAATTCATTTAGAAGGCGGCCAATGATAATATTTTGATATAAATTACCTCATCGTGTAAAAGTTTCTGTTCTTCCTCACCAATTGTCAAATTAATGGACTCGTCATTATCCATGTTTACAGTGTCGCCTGTATTCTCCTCTTGCATCTCCTCGTCGCCTGCAGGCTCACCTTCGCCCTCTTCGGCTGCTTCCCCTTCATTCGCATCTTCAGTGCCATTCTTTGACTCATCGAAAGCCTCTGCCCCCTCTTCTTCGTCGTCATCTAATATAACGCATACATCGTCGACATCGCCAACTTGGTCTATTTCGTGACCGTCCTCGTCGGCATGATGAGCACTATCTTCCCCATCCCCGTTTCCATCGAATTCATTACCCTCTACCTGGGGTTCCTCCTCGGTATCAACTGGCTCCTCCTTGATTATAACCTGGCTTGTGGATTCATTCATTGGTACCGGTGTGGGCTTCTTTGGCTTAGCAGCCGCTTCAATCAAATGTGTGTTTGGGTCGACGCCCTCCTCTTTTAGTGCCTACAATTTTACACACTGTTGTAGTGGTACCAATTACTTTTTTTTTAAGTCTAGCTACTACGTACCCTTTCAAGACGTTCGATTAGCACTGCCTTTGGACCCACAGTTTCCAGCTTGCGCTTTTCAAGCTCATCTTTTAAATCGCAGACTCGCAACTCGCTAATTTTCTTGCCGATTTCGGGCATTTTAATTAATTCTTATGCACAATTATAACACAATAACCGGTATGTATGAAAAATTCTCTTAAAGTAGAAATAATTTTAGAAAATTTTCTCGACTCTACAATGTGTGCTGGTCCGTATGCCAACTGAGAATCTTTCACAATTTTTCCTATAATCAAAATGGCGACATAAGAAAAATCTACCAGGAATCAAATATCGATAGGCGAGGGCTACTCAACTATTGTTAGATAGTCAGGGATAGTTCGATTTTTTAGCGTCCATTCATTTATGGTACATAATATTTATTGAATTAATTTTATAAGTTGAATATTATATANATATATTTATATATTAGCTTAATGAAAGCCTTTCGAAACAGCTAATTTTAAAACAATTTCTATATATGGTGCATGATTATAATACAATAAACTAATTAATATATAAGCTCACTAATATAAATTAAACCATTTTCAAATAGAAAGTTGAAGTATAATTTTATTTTTAAAGTACATTCAATACATTTAAATTAATTTTGTATTTATAAATGATTTATGGCGGTGAAATTCGAATTATAGTGTATTCCTATTATTTATACATTTTTTTGCATTGCTGTGTACGGTCACATTGTTTGAGTAAAGCACTTTCCTCCCGCTTGTTTCTGTAAATAATTGTGGATTTTTGCATAGTCCTACTATGTCGGTGGTTATTGAGACCACACTGGGAGACTTAACAGTTGACCTCTTCACGGACGAGCGACCAGTTGCCTGCCTCAACTTTATTAAACTATGTCAGCTAAAGTACTATAACTACAACCTATTTCATACTGTGCAGCAAGGCTTCATAGCTCAAACCGGCGATCCCAGTGGTGTTGGAAATGGCGGCTCTTCCGTTTGGGGCGTTGTGGAGGGAATGCAGAAGCGTTTTTTCGAGGCCGAATACATACCGAAAATACACCACTCAAGTGCGGGCATGCTCTCGTTGGTCAGTGCCGGCAAAAATCTAGTCGGCTCACAGTTCTTCTTCACACTCGGCGAAAATCTAATTTCGTTGGATGGCAATCATTGCGTTATCGGTGAAGTTGTAGAGGGCCATGAAGTACTGCGAAAGTTGAACGATGCCATTGTGGACGACAATTTTCGACCCTATCAGGATATTCGCATAACGCATACTGTCGTTCTCGAAGATCCATTTCCAAACCCTCGTGGCTTTCAAGTGCCTAGCCGTTCTCCATCTCCCAGTGCCGAAAGACTCCAAAATGGACGCATCGCGGCCGACGAGGACATTGATGAAACCAACGGCAAAACCATGGAAGAGATGCAAGAGATGTTGGCGGAGCGTGAGGCTAAAGCACGTGCTACAATTCTGGAAATTGTGGGTGACTTGCCAGATGCCGAGATGGCGCCACCAGAAAACGTGCTCTTTGTGTGCAAACTCAATCCCGTCACTACGGACGACGATTTGGAAATAATTTTTAGCCGCTTTGGCGTTGTGAAAGGTTGCGAAGTGATACGGGACCGCAAGACAGGTGACTCCTTGCAGTATGCCTTTGTAGAGTTTGAGGATCAGAAGTCATGCGAGGCGGCCTATTTTAAAATGGACAATGTTCTTATTGACGATCGCCGCATACACGTGGACTTCTCTCAGTCTGTGTCTAAGGTGACGTGGCGGGGGAAGGGACGAGGCGTCGTTGGTGATGGTAGCCAATTGGACTTTAACAACTTGAGGGAAAGCAATGGCAAGAAACACGAGAGCAAACCGAGAAAGAGGGGACAAGAAGATCGACGAGGACAAGGAGATCGACGTATGGATAGAAACCGAAACGACGAACAAAAAAGAGAAATAACCTCGGAAGAACGGAGAAAGGCTCGTGAACAACGACATAGGGAGCAAAGGGAACGCGAAGATCGTGGCCGACGCAATAATACACAACGTTCAAGATCAAGGGAAACAAATGTTCGGCATAACGAACGATACGAAAGACGTCGATCTAGATCGAATGACCGAAACGTCGATCGTAGAAGACCCACATCGCCTTACAGAGGCTCGCGATACTCGCCAGAGCGCAGACGTAGAGAAAGCCAACGTGATAGAAGTGAAGACAGGCATCACAGGTAAGTAAATTAAAATTATATGGAAATGTTTTAGTAACATCTATCAAAGGCCTTCATTTAGAACCCAAGCGAACTCACAAAGCGAGCGACGGCAAGCGGAAAGAAAGTACAAGGAAAAGGAATCAGAAAATGTGTCAAAAGTTCGGAAACGTGTAGCTGTGGAAGAGGAGCGAGCATCTAAGAAAAGATCAAAGCGAGCTAAATCCAGTAGCTCGGAGTCGAGTGACTCCTCTGACGACAGTGAGTCATCTTCAACTGATAGCTCCGACGAAAGCTCCTCGGACGAGCGTAGCAAACGCAAAAAACACGGCAAATCTAATCAGAAAAAAAGCAAAACAAAGAGAAAACACAAGTCGAAAAAGAAACATAAGAAATAATGACTGACATGTTGCTAAAAGACATAAATATAATTTTAGTTAGTCTAGTTTGCCAATAATCACAAAGCGTATTTTCATTTATTGCGAGCGTCTATCTCGGCCTGTAGCGCTGCCATGGCTGCTCCACCTCCACAGCAGCCTGTAGATTTATCACTTCGCCGTCTGCGCGGTGCCTCAATGACAACATCGGGATTGAAAGGCACATTGTCCAGGCGAGTTGTCTCTGGCGTAATGCGAAGCTCTGGAAGAATTGTGGCCTTAAGTGAATGGGAATCTATTTATGTAATATTTACTTACCGAAGACGTTGTCTTCCTTCTGTTTAGCCTGTATTACATTCGTTCGCAGCTCGTAGTCTACTTCCTCAGCTAATTTAATCATCTACAATTATAGAACACGATATAGATCTAGCTTTAAATTATTCTAAAGGCGGATGTCACCTTTTTAATTTCCTCTTCACTGGTTTCGTTGCGGTTCTGCTGAAAGGATTCGTTTATTTTGTTCCGCCCAGCCACTAAGGCCCTGTCATCCCCATGAAACACATACTGCCTCGTGCGATGGAGCTTTTTAAACGCACTTAGCACCTGTGGGTGTCATAAAAGTAAATATTATATTCATTAATCAAATAAAAAAATCAGAAACTTACCTGGCGCTTCAACGGTTGGGACATTTTTTTACGTCATTAACAAACAATCAGCTGGTATTTGAGTGTGATAGGCAACCCTAAAGCACTGCAGAGCTGCAAGTTGTTATTTATCGAATGTGTTATCGTAAATTCGGTCGATAGTCTTTTGTTTTTGACATCTCCAGTTCAGTTGAAAGAATTTTTTACGTTGTATGGTTGTGTACGACGGTCGTTTCGGCGCGAAGGAATAGTGGGCATAGCTAAAATGCTGTACAGCTAAAAAGTCAAAATTATTTTTATTATAAAATTGTATAAAACGGCAATGAAAGCAAACACGAATTTAACCAATACGCAATTACAACAAGTATCTTTATATCTATCCGGACTACGGTCGCGTGCGTACGCGGGAGAAAAGTGAAATTATTTACTATTGGCCATTTAATTGTGTGCGTGCCTCACTCAAGAGCCGAATAAACTATTCCAGGGCGTAGGCGGGCCTTGTAAAATCAGCACGAAACTGGCTCAAAACGACAAATTAAGCTTCTTCCTCAAGAACATGGAGGAAGAAGAGGAAGAGGTGACAGATCTGAAGCTGCAATTATTCCACAATACAGTTCGGGAGCACATTGTAAGTAGCATCAACTACTGTGACGTCACATTACATCAGTGCCACCACCAACTCCACCCCTAACGGGATGCAGCTGCCTACGTTATTGTTATTGTTGCAGCTGCAACAATTATTGTTGGTACAGCAGCGTACACGTCGCGAATCACAGTTACAGTCGAACAAACACTTGCATGTGTGTGAGTGTGCGAAAGAGTGTGTGTGTGTGTTTCGTTTTGTTTATGGTTCTTATCAGCTGAGCGCTGCTCGATTTACGAGGCGAAAATATATAAAATTGTGATAGTCGCCGACATCGCTAAGTTACTATTTAAGTTGCCACTTAACTAATTTCCTGCTCGACTGTTAACTGCATGACCAACGGTTTATGAGGCGCCGTCTGTAAAAACTTAGCACCTGTAAAAAGCAAAAATTAATAAAAACGGCACACGAGAAAGAGACGCGCAGCAACAAGTGAAAGTGTTTCGGTATATTAATAAACATTTTGGCCTGTAATGAAATATATAAGCATACAGACATATGCACATACATATATGCATAAATGTTTACAAGGCGTTGCGCAAATGAAACGAATCAAAACAAATTTGAAATAATTTCGAAAATTTGTTGCACTTGCTAACAGGTTCAAGTGCGGGGCAGATGGCCGCGATTCGTGCCCACTCTATTAAGTTCAAGTGTGGCAGTTGTCTTTTGTTTAAACAATAGCAGCCACGGCGGACAATTCAAAAATATATTTCAGTATTTTCAGCTGACACACTATACACAGAGAGTCACCACGAAAAGTTGATGTCTGCCTGTGCGATGTTTATGCAGCTAAAAATAAACATTTCGTTTGTTTAAATCGCACAATTGCTTAGATATACTGTATATACATATGCTTATATATGTGTATGTATGTTTGCTTATTATAATTAATACAATATATAGTTTTAGCATTTTATTCAAAGTTTAACAGGAAACCAGTAGCCGTTGGTTGCTGTAACTGTTCTCAGTTTACACCGCATTTATTAACGAAAATTGAATAATGTCAAGCGGTATGTGGGTCAGCAGCAATTAGAGTGCGTGTGTCGCATTCACAATGCTCTCCCCAAAAACCTGGTCAGAGCGCCCATAAATTATGCAGGAACCCCTCAAAAAAGAATCGAAAATGAAACGAAAAGAATGATATTCGGTGACATGCCGAAGCTTAAATACTCTTGCGGCGTTTCTTTATACAGATAAGTGGAAATGTCATTCGAGTGTTGTTATAAGTAAGTGTCACATCAGACATGTTGGGGTTGGTCAAGATAAGATTCTACCCATAGAGAATTTCGTAAAAATACTCTCAAACTGTCAAGTCTAGGCTATGCAAACTGAAAAGTGAAATATGCTATTATGTGAGAATTTCGGCCACACTGAGAAAAAGAACGCAGTTAAAAATTTTCAATACATTAATACAATATTTTCAAACCGTGCCTGGAACACAGTAAGTTTGAGTTGGAAATCTAGGAAATTCTAGAGTCATTATCATAGTTAGTTAACTTTAAGCTGAAGCTCTAAATCTTTTAGATTGAACTGCAAATCTCTAAAGTCGTCCTCCCAAATATAAACCAATTGTGAATGCCAAGTCAATCGGATATATACTCAATTTGACAATGTCGCTTAAGCGGACACTTCTCTGAAATTTAAACAAGCCTTCGCAGTATCTGGCCATTATTTCTCATTGTTTGGCTGGAAAATAAATAATAGTTTATTTGGCCATTTGCAAAACATCTTTCACTTAATGGAACTGTGCGAAACGTATTTGTGGATCCACCATTCACCGGTAAAGTTGTTGCACCACAATATCAACGGCATAGCAACAGAAACAACAACAACCACAGCAGCAGCAGCAGCATGCCGCCTAGACAACATTTATGATTGTCGCTGCCTCTGGTTCATGTTGCCCCTCTTCCACTCGGAATATATGCATCGCTATTTATAGCCAAGTTTTGCGTCGTCGTTTTGGGCGTATTTTCATCTCGAGTTCATGTCAAGTCATTGACTCGGTGCATTAACTTGGCCAATGCAACTCGCAGAACTTGTTGAGCCCATCAGCTCAATCGGGCAACGAGCGACTTAGAGATATTCCAGGCTATCTCAATAAATACGTGACTTTGTAGACGTATTATTATGTCTTATGTTTAAGTATTCTAAATATTTTTCTATTTATAGATATATAATATATGAATATAGTGCTAGCATGTGAAGAGGTTCATCTGGAATGTTGATTGAGAATTATATAATCATAGGATATATATCTATAACTCGATACTACAGAAATTAGTAATTCGATGGGGTTTCCAATGTAATATAATAGTTTTATAATAGACTAGTCCTATTCGAACACGTGCCAATTCAGGTATTCGATGTCATAAACTGCTTACCAACATTACCATAATTAATGTATTCATTACACCCTGAACTCATTGGAAATGGGGAATTCACGGCCTAATGGTTTTGTTAATCTAGAGCAGAAGGAGGCGTGGCAGAACCCATAAAGTTCATATTTTCTAGATCAAGACGACGGGCTTATTCGATATAACTGTGACTGTCTGAGTGCCTGTATACACGTACATGTATATGAATACACAGTACGAGCTTATCATTTTATCCTATACTCTTTACGTTTCTTTGTAATCAATAAAAAATTATAATTTTAATCGTTATTCAAGTAACATAAAACCTAAAGATTTTTGATTTACTTATTATTTTCGGATTTTCTGATCGCATTTCAAATACACTAGAGACTTGTGCCTTAGCAAATATCTATATACATTGTTATGACATTATCATGCCCAAGAAACTTCATTAATAAAATATATTTAGAACATATGGCCTTTAGCAAACAAGTTCACATAGTAAAACCCATTGCCCAGGCTTATACGTGCGTGCGGAGAAGCGTGGAATAATAGAAATATCAGCTCTTCGTACACCTTAGGACACTCATCAGCCTTTGGCTTTTTCATTAACATCTAAAGGAAATCGATAAGTGAAGTTTGTCTTTCTCTTAACCAATTTGATTAACTCAACAGCTTCAAAGCAATGCACTGACTGCCAAACAAGCTTTTAGGTTGTTGTGTAGTGTATCGTGGAGTCGTGTACGCTCGCTTATGCAACAAGTGCGCTTGGGTAACAATACGTAAAGATTTCCGCAAGTGTTCTCTGGCAACTGGACACAGCTGAGCTGCGGTCTGTTCTTGTGAATTCCAAATGTGCTCGGATCGCCGTATTGAAGCATATTCATTCAGTATTCGTGCCAGACTGAGACTTGGCATTTAATAGCGCTTATCTCTGGGTTTTATTTTAAAAGCGAACTGTGGGACGTTCCACGCGTTCCAAGTTCAACAGCATTGAAATAAAAATATAATGCGAAACGTCACACAATTCTTCATATTACATAAACACTTTTTGGTTTTTATAAATAAACTACGCACAGTAATAATTCAATGAAAGAGGGAGAGAGTAAAAGAGAGATAATTAACAATATATGTATATATATATAGTGCTATAAATAGCTAGAATAAACGTAATTATTCTTTCAATCAAATCAATCRATCCCAATCAACGCTGTTGGTCTCATTGAAGCATTAAATTAATTGCAAGCTGTCATACTTCAGCGTTGTGCATATACGACATCTATTATATATTCATGTATATGTATATGTGTCTATATATCTCTCATCTATTGTTTATGTTGTGGTATTCATTATATGCCAAGAATCAGGGAACGTAATTGTAGAAGGAAAGAAAAAATAAAAACAAACAGCCATTCGAGACATTGTGTATTTATTGTTTTTTTGCTTTGTAGATATTTTGTTGTTTTTTCTGTTTCTGTTGAGAACATGAAAAAAGTCTTTTATTAATGATACTTGCATATTTGCTTATGCTTGTACATATATTCTTTTGTGTTTGTTTTTGTTGTTTTTTTTTCTATTTTTTTTTTCTTTTTTTTTTTTTTTTTCTTGTTTTTAAATATACTCAGCGAAAAAAACAAAGACCGGTGCTCTAAGCCCAAGGAGTCTGTTTTCCATTTCTTCATTTAGTGTCGCTGGTTATCTATGTGTGTTTAAATACACTTTAGCTATTTTAAATTGGCATCTGAGTTTAGACTTT